TAAATAATAACTCACTCACTCATTAAACTATCTAGCTTAAGGGGCAACTTGTGTCCCATCATTAGATGTAGCTTACTGTGAGTACATCTTTGACCCACGGTGACATAACCAGCTGTGGGCCATTAGCTGAACCGATAGGAAATTTATTAACTGTTCGTTAATTGGTCATCCACGATGAAACAAGCTACCAGAAAAAGGGTGACCCAACTTATTATATAACTAGATGTGAGTAGCTTGGTGAACTGAAATGTACCAAGCTTAGACTAAATCGATGATCAAAGATAATATGCATGAAAATACGAAATTTTCCTAGCTCCGAGTCCTCGGCTCACACATGTTAATTAATCCCTGATTAGCCAGTGATTGTGGGAGCTACTGTAACAGGAGCTTCGGATACGACTAAAAACTAAGACTAAAACAAAAAAGACTATAATTGAAACTGTTTAATCTTGAAAGTCAATCACTTCAAAGACACCAATCACTGATCAACACTGTCACAGGCAGAAAGATATGACGCCATAACTCTGTCACATGTCATGTATTCCTTACCAAGTTGGTACAAATTTGCTGAAGCATTATCAACACGACGTCTCCATCTGTTTCATGCCAACCTTGCAGCTGCATAATATACACTTCTTTGTTGGAATCTTCTGGTTTGAAAAGTAATATAAGTCCACACATATAGGTGGCTCTTCGAAACTTCACACCTTAACGGATCAGTGACCAAGACGCTGTCAAAAATGGGACACTGCCGTACATACCAGCAGTGAGTGAGTGAGTGAGTGAGTTAATATTTAACGTCACATCGGCAATATCTCAGGCATATCGTGACGAGAACATATTTGACATTGAAGTGGAATATATGTATATGATAAAAACCTGTCTCCGAAGGACAGTAAAACAACTAGAATATCACAATTACAACTCAAACTAGTGTGGAAAGTTAAAACTAATAGCACTATTTGGACAATACAATATAAAAACTGGCTATAGATCGCCAACAACCGAAGGTAGATCACCAAATTAGGGACCATGGGGACTTACATTACTTTTGCTACCTGCATGGAACATACCAGCAGTTCTCAAATGTCAAAACATTTGTGATACAAAGATTTCGAATCGCAAACCTCAACGCCCGATTAAAAAAACCCCAAACAAACGTTTGTTGGAATATCGGATTTTGTTGTGAAACAGATGTTTCATTTAGGCTAATAATAATTTCGCCTTCATGTAATTGAGGTGGAACTTCAAAAGATGATAAGTTATTCTGCTAGGTCTTTAACCAAGGCCTGAATATTTAGGTAAATATTGAATAGAAAAGCCTGTGTGAATTGTGTGAGGGTTTGTGTGTATTAAGTAGTGCTTAAGACAGCAAATGAAGATATTAGAAATGAGAGTTGTAGATGAAAGGTGTTAGGTAAAGGTAACTCTTATGGATCTTGCTTTGTTTTCAGCCAACAGTTTTTCACGTCAATTTTGGCAACTAATTTTGAATTGACGTCAGCACGTTGACTCTATTTGGATATATTCTGACATTTTACCTAAGGGAGGATGATTTGTAAAAACAGGAAGTCACCTAAGTTAAGTGGTGGGACTGGTTGTAATGACACAGAGCCGACAAGGGTAATATCTCATATGGTGATCTTATACATTCAATCCCCAAGGGTCCTATTGTTGGGGTTGAGTGAGTTGGGCCTAAACCGTTGACATATACGAAACAGCTTGATAGAAAGTTTCCTCGCAGTAAAAAAAACCCAAACTTTTTGCAATTATTTTTTACAATGATAATTTTCTTTTTCATAAACAATTTACATTAAATGCAAATTGGGAAGAGCATTCAAACCGACATTTTTCTGAATGCGGTAAAACATTCCGATCAGAAATGCGATAAATGCATATTGTTGTTGTTTCAGGAATTGCCATCGCCCAAGTGTTAACATGCATAATTGGTATTATGCCGTACGCTCTCATAACGGCTTGGTCAATATACTATCTGAGCCAACCCTTCAGTTCGTTATTGCCCTGGACAACATGTGACAACTGGTGGAACACCCCTGTATGTATCAATAAGGTAACCAATGACCCATCCGAAGTATACTTCAACAGTACTGTGGAGCACCAGCTTCTCCTCGATGCAGTATGGAGAAAGCCGAACTCGACATTGACAGCGTCGGAGGAGTTTTGGCAGTAGGTTTTTCAAGACAGATACTTATATTTTTGTTTCAAAGTATGAAGCAAGCACACTGCTCATAGAGAATTGATTCCACATGAATTCGCGAGCTGTAAATATACTAATACTCTGCAAGCCTCAAGCTTATCTATCGAGTATACTTATTATTAACTTAGCATTTTTGCAAGATCTTTGTTTATTATAGATAATTGGCCAGGTGGGTGAGTTTTATGCCGCTTTCGGCAATATTCTAGTAATATCATGGCGGGGGACACCACAAATGGGCTTCACACATTGTACCAATGTGGGAAATCGATACAGATAATGGGGTTGATCTGTACAAAATGAATGTTTCAGGTGTACTGATATGTATGCTTTCTTTCTTTAAAGGTTCAACACCCTTCGGGTGTCAACTTTGGATCGGGATCGACAATTTTGGATCAGTACAGTCCCATATGATCATTTGTCTCCTGTGTTCCTGGACATAAGCGTTTCTGTGCGTGGTGAAAGGTGTGCGGGCTGTAGGGAAGGTGGGTCACTTGAACCGAAGGAACGAACAAAGGGAGGTGATTTGAGTCACATTGTTTAAATATCAAGAGAATCATCTTTCCTGTAATACGTAAACCTTACCCTTTTCCAACTGTCTTGATAAAATTCTCTGGAATGGAATTTTGGGTGTTATCTTGGTGACAAAAATATGAAGCAGAATTTGAAGACGTTTGTAACATGCGTTTGGGAATCGTGTGACAAGCACAGCCTACTACCGCGATTCCGTGCAGAATGGCAAGCATACGGAAAGTTCTGGTCGTGATGTCGTTTGCAATAGGTGACATTTAAGTATGGCAAGTATATGGTGAAGTGTATGTGTTTTGCATGAGTTGCATTTTTTGCATGGCATTTTGTAGGTTCATGAAGTGTATGTTCTGCATCAGTTGTCTTGTGGGATGGCAAAACGTTGGTGTACATCTGCATCACAGGGGGCGTGCTTATTATGTTCAAGGTTTCGTGTCTGATTCGGCAAAGTTTTAGACTGGGCATTACTGTTCTTGGGTATGAGTAGTATACCACAGTTGACTCTTAGGAAAACAGGAATAAAGCACAAAAGGTGTACACGTACATGGACTTATATGTGTTGGCACTGTGTTGCATGAGGTATTCTTCTGAGAATCAAACATTGGTCCAGACAAAATTGTTTGTAAAATCCCACCACCCAACCATGGGAACCGTTGCTACTGTGCGTTGTAAATTGATTGGATGTATATGTAATTGACTTAGCTGCAAGTTTTCTTCCATAGTTTGTGTACGTGACAGCTGTGATGCCTTACGTGCTCCTTATGGTGTTGTTGGTCCGGTCGTGCATGATGCCGGGCTCCGGCAGTGGACTTCCTGCGTCCAGATTTCTCACGACTTGGATCAGTACAGGTTTGATATATTTTTTATTACAATCACCATGACATTCATCAACTATTCAAGTCTTTTTGTCTATTGTTGTTGAATTAGTAAATTGTGTATGTTACCACCTGCTATTGCTGCAACTTAGTTTGATAAATTGCCCAGCACATGTTTGATTTCGTGCATATTGATATTCTTCTTTAATCAATTGCTCTGTGACAATTATAAGAATAATAGGATGCTGAGGAATTTTATCGATGAAATGAAATGGGGAAATCTGTTGATTGGAAAATAGAGCTACGGTGACATTTTACATGGGTACACCTACGGAATACCGGATACCATATTGTTTAGCGTCACGTCACCCTAACGCTAAACCCTGACCCTAAACCTTACCCTAACACTAACCCTAAACCTTACCCTAACCCTAACTGTAACCCTAAACCTAACCTCAACCAAAAGTTAACTCGCGTGCTTTCGAAGATAAAGGAAGGTATCCGGTATTCTGTAGTCTTGCCTTTACATGTAGTATATATTTAGAAATCCTATCCAGTAGATTTAAATGTTCACAATATATTGCAACTAAATATCAGAATATACCTGTATATCCTCTTGAAGTATGAACTGTAAGAATTAGCACCAATTGCCATAGCAGCAAACCGTCAATCTTGTAATGCATGTTTTCATGGCAGGTATGGCTTGAAGCTCTCCTCCAAGCCTTTTATTCCATGGGTCCAACGTTTGGCACGCTCATCACTATCAGCAGTTACAACAAATTCCATAACAACTGTCTCAGGTGATTCCATAACAACTGTCTCAGGTGATTGTCGGAGAACATGGATATCGTTATAATCTAATCATGTTAAAAGTAAACTAATGTGCATGTGTGTAAACATTTTTCAATGTTTGCATGCTTAAACACGTCTATTTTAGAGACGTTGCACTGTTGACAATCCTTGGAGAAGCCAGCAGTATATTTTGCGGATTGGTAGTCTTCTCTACTATAGGATTCATGGCTCATGAGGCTCAAGTACCTATATCAGAGGTAGTTTCGACTGGTATGTGGGAATTACAATGTGCATTATAAATACAATAACTTGATATTGCTATGTTGACTTTGTAGGAGTAACTGGCCTTCAAGGGCTTGTAGTTTGTAAGAACACGGCATGTAAAGACGGATTAAATATTCATTACTTCAAGTATCTGCTTCATTAAGTTGGGAGTTGCAAGGTTTATCCCAATTACAACACCCCCATATGAGTGAACCTTTTATAGAATGTATATTATCATATGGATCATGTAGATGATTCATGTATCCTAGGTATATATTAACTTCGACATATCTAAAGCTAAAATATATGTGTAAAATGTTCACGGTTCATTTACCCAGGAGCGGGACTTGGTTTTATCATCTACCCTGAAGCTATAGCCCAGCTACCCTTGCCTCAGCTGTGGTCAGTCCTGTTCTTCCTCACATTGTTGTCCTTGGGGATCGACACACTGGTAAAATACACGGTCCAACAATATAGATGGTGCCTCATTTGTCTGATGCTTTTACACGATGACGTTGAATGTTCGATCTGTCACCACAGTATCATTTAAATGATGTTCATGATGCGTTTGTTTTATTATGTTCTCTAGAGCATGTTGTCATTGTTGTTCTCCCACAAGAACTTGTTTACCTGTTGCTGAGCTCCGACATTAGCGATATTCAAGTCATACGATGATCTGTGAATGATCAAATCTGGACCAGCAATTCAGGGAATGATATTGTAATGTACGCCATCGGGTAAGATTACGTGTCACTGAGCCTAAACATCCCATCAACTGAGATATGAAACTCTTTGGGTTGTAAAGACAGTGGTGATTTTAGTGTGTGTCATGGCTGTATGTCCTATCAATATTGAATACGTGAGCGAGTTAAAATTTAACGTCACCTCGGCAATATTTCAGCCATATAGTGACGTGAACGGTTGTGCATAAAAAATAAATACGATTTGTTAAGCAACCAGTCATCGAAGGACTGTAAATAATAACTAGAGTATCACATACTGTGTTAAAACTAGCATGCAAATCTAAGACTATTTTATTAACGAAGATAATTCAATATAGAAACAGGCTATAGGTAGCCAACAACTGAAGGTAGATCACCATACTAGGGACCATTGGGACTTACAGTGCCTTTGCTACCTGGGTAATTTTTACATTTAAAATAGATAGCAAACATCTAGAAAATGGTATTCTGTTTGGCAATGTTCCAGGTTTGTTTTCAGTAACAAGTCTTAAACATGAACGTTATTGTCTTATAGAACCCACGCGTCAATTTACATGGATGTTGTCACTATAGATGCTTTGTTTCGTTGAAGACATATTTCACGGGTCCTCGTTTGTAAAACGTCTTTGTAATCCTTTGTTATAGTTTGGGTCAGTAGAGACAATCATAGCGGGGATAACCGAAGCCTTTCCTCAGAATTTACAGAAGAAAAGAGTTCGTGTCACAGCTGGAGTTTGTCTATGTATTTTCCTGCTCTCTGTTCCATATACGACAAGGGTGTGTTAATTCATACATTCAATTCATTCATATATATACTGAAAGGCAAAAGAAACGTCGTAATATTAGAAATGACATTTGAGTATCAATGGAGTATTTGAACCTATTTTTTTAAATATACACCAGAAGTCAAGTTTCAGGAAACATGAATCGTGGTCGTATAGCCTGCATTGCCCAATAAAGTATTGTTTGAGATTGAAGTTAGAAATGTTTTGGTTTTTTGGAGAGGGAAAAGTTCCCACAAAACACAACACTGAAATTGAGATGCACGTGCATCATAAATGCATTCAGGCATAAATTGCCGGCTTGAATGGCAATCGTTCACTTGTTTTCTGAACACAGCAGCTATGACTAGGTTAACGAGAGATCAACCACAACAAGTTATTGGACGTCTGCACGCTGGTCAACATGCTCGAGTCATTGCTAATGACTTCAGTTGCAGCGTACGAACGATAGAACGTCTTAGAGTGCGATACAACGCCACCAGCAGCACTGATGACCGTCCACGTAGTGGTCAACCCCGTGTAACAACACGTCGCCAGGACCGTCATATCGTCCATCAACACGTGCAAGACCTATTCGCAAGGGTCAGAGAAACAGCTTGGGTGACCATAGGAAACCACCAGCGACCAGTCAGTGACCTACCATTCGGCGACGTCTCCAAGCCAGGAACCTGTTTTGTCGATGTCCTGCCAGGAGACCCATATTCACCCAACGTCACCGCCGGGAACGTATCCAAGTGGACACAACATCGGCAAAACTGTCGTGGGGGACAATGGAGAGGGGTTATCTTCTCTGATGAAAGTCGGTACTGCATTTCAGTGGCGTATTATTTAAAAAAAATAGGTTCAAATGTTCCATTGATACTTAAATGTCATTTCCAATATTACGACATTTCTTTTGCCTTTCAGTATATATCTGCGGGTATTAATCTCTAGATATGTTGCATGTGGCATTCCCACATACAGGGTCATCTACTCGCGTAGATGTCATAATATTGTATTTACAACACGAGTGACTGAAAAATTATATTTCCCGAGTGAGGGGGGTGGGGTGGGGGGGTATAATTTTTCTGGCACGAGTGTTGTAAATACAATATGACATCTACGCGAGTGTGTTAATTTCTATATTATCACCTAATTTTCAGAAGGCTTTAATTACAATAAACAGTGTTTTACTGGCAGTTTCCATGTTAAAAGCGATCTAAATATAGCCTTGAAGCGTATGAATACAAATACAGCAAGGTCAAAGTAGCTGCGCACTGACAGGAACTGTTGTATAACTAAACATCTAGCGCCAATTTAAAACAGTGAAACGTGACAAAATGTCCATTTTAATTACCATATAATTCACTTTCTACTAATATATTTTTAAAAGTCATTGTAACCTTACAAACGAGAGTAACTGAGGTTGTAGTAAACATTGTATCGTAGTAAAACGTTATTTATGACAAAAGTAGCTGCGCATTCTGATGACCCGTGATTGTCGCAACAGGCCAAGGAAATGGCCTCTATGGTTTATAACGCGTGTGCTACGTATCGACAATATGTCACAATTTATTTTTTAAACATATGGATAATAAAACTGTATATGCAATACTTGAAACAATGAATTCTCATTCCATAATTCCAGGGTGGAATCTACCTCTTCCAACTTTTGGACTGGTATGCCTCATCATTCAGCGTCCTGTTCATTGGTTGCCTGGAGTGCGTGACGATCTGCTGGATTTATGGTATGGAAAGACCGTGATGTTGAGATTTGTTTTGTCGAATTTCAGGTGAGCGGCAACAAACCAGAAACCATTATTTGGGCTAAACGTTTGTTCCAGTCGACTGCTAAAGCATGTTGTCACACGCACAACCGTCGATTGATGAGTTCTGAGCCCAATACTGAAATGTGCCTTTGTGGACATTATGTGATGCCATGGAGTTTGATTGACAAAACCCCGAGGAAACTGTCCCGTTGTGGCAAGTCAGTGAATAAACGGGTATCTGTGACGCGAAAATGTACACGCGTGAGGTGCGTGCAATGATCAAACACTTACAGGTAAAGGGCGTAAAACCAGAACCCACCCATGAACATTAGACAACACCAAGAAAAAACAGTGAAAAGGTGGGTTGCGTAGTTCGACAACAACACTGACTGTGTTATCCGGTTCAGCAATGGTTTTAATATAGCACTGAATATTTATTGCATGTTCTAAACGTTTCAGTCTGGACGTGGAGATGATGCATGGGCGACGAACCCCGGTAGTGCTGAGTATCATGTTATCCTACATCACCCCTGTCATCATGTTTGTAAGTAAAACAGCTTCACACACATTGGCTATTATGAAGTCTAAGTATATTTTAACAGTGCTGTTTCCTGCTGTATACGTTAGTTTCTACTACTAACGTTTCAAGTCAATGGCTGAGCTTACAGTTACAGAGTTACAGACAACTATAAATCCTACCTTTATTCACCTTTATCTTATCTGTAGTTAGGGTATATATTTTAGGGCTGTGCAATATTACCGGTACACCGGTATATACCGGTACAGTATCTCGCGATGCGATTATCGCGATATGGTTCAGATTCTGCAATATATTGGGTCATCCAGAGTTAGCTCCATTCGAATTATCTGCCCTTGATTTCCATAGTAAACAAATGTGCTCTAAAAGTGCGAAATATACTTTTATTTCTGTTGGTTTCATGTAACATTTTTCAAGTGGAAGTGCCATTATAAGTGGCTCCAAAATTGCCAAATTGTCTACCAATACTTTACGTTTTGTGGGTGTGAATGGTTTCATTTGGAGGAATTAAAAGGCCCCAAATGGATCAACTTTTATTTGGACTTATCAGTAGAGCCTCTGGCTCTGAGTGACCATTTCGCTGTTCACAGGATTTTGTTATTTTTGTTTGTTCATAATGGGGCATACGATATCAATTTATCATACAGGCCTGAGTCTTAGAAAAATTGTAGGACTGTATAATGACATTCCAGTAAAGGATCTTAGCTATTATAAGTAACATGCGATATTAAGCTCAAGTAGTTCAACTAAATCTTGTTTTTCTTTCATTTGGCAATAGTTCATGTTAACACATTGAATCTGAATGAATCACATACAGTAACAATAATTACATACTGCACTGAAGCGCATTCTGTTGATGCAAACAACACTGACTATGAAAATCATGTTATACTATTACCTTTATCATTATGTTCGCAAAACGTTGGTGCAATAATTCCACATTAAGGCTCTATATTATTTTATTTATCTGTAAACAATTGGCGTAGAGCCATACCCAATGGGGACGGGGAGCCTGAAACTATGGTGTAACAGTTACTGAGAAGATGATGTCGCACACAGAGAGCTATTATGAATTTATGATGTGCGCACTTGTGCAGAAACTGTCCCGTCAATATATCACAATATGTATTGCAATATCTCTTAAATTATTGCAATATATCGCAATATGAAAATCAGGGCAATATCCAGGCTTAATATATTTCCTGCAATGTCATGTGATAAAAGGAACGCAATAATTGAAGCCATTAACACATCTATACCTATCAACTTTAAAGAGAAATGCCAGTAGTCGAAATTAAGGCTACAATGACAAAGGAGTCCAAAGAAAAGGTTTCTACTCTAGCTGTTTAAAGTTAAAGCACGGAAGCTAATCATTTATTCCATGTACCCCATTTGCATGTTAAACATTGGTTTGAATCTTGAAAACGTTTTTTCAGGTGGAACAGAAACCCAAATTTAGACTTTAACTTTCGAATAGACAAAACAACATCGCCTGATAAAGCACCATTTGTTCCACAGGCAGCCCTGGTCCTGTCTCTCTTCATGTATGACCCGCCAAGCTACATATATCCAGTCTACGCTTAAGGTACTTGGAATCATCATGGCAGTTCTCATGACTGCACCGATACCGGTCATGATGATATACCAAGTCGCACAGAGGGAAGGGACCATCATGGAGGTATGTTTACATAGAAACATAGGGTGTGTATGGAGTTTGTAAAAAGTTACTACTATTCCCCATGTCAATGTTCCTTTCACCAAAGTATCACATCACCAATGACATCTTTTTAAGATTTTATCAACACGAACTTTATTTTGTTTGTTATTGTTTTACGTTCAGCGTATCAAATTTGCAAGTAAGCCATCTCATGAATGGGGCTGGCACAACCAGAACTCAGGAAAATCTATCTTGAACATACACCACAACAATTCATTATGGATCAGTTGCCTGGAGCAGATCACCAGGATCACTGAAGAAAGAAAATACCCATAGGGCTGGTCGTTATGGATAATTTAAACACAGTTGTAATTTTGTGGCGTTATTTATCAGAAATAGGAAAGTTCATTTATATTTTATACTCAGTATGACATGTTGACTCTGCCTTCGTGTTAACATAATCACTCTTTTCTATTTCGTATGTAATTATAAGTTATAGATATTTTATTTCTCAGATGTTAGAATATAGTGAAAGGCCAATGACACGTGATTTAAACCTACTTCCCACCATGGTATCATGATGCTATATTTAGCATTTTATAAATATGCTCGTCTTCCAGTTGCAAAAGCGAATGTTTTAGTTAGTTATTTTATATTAGTTTGTTTGATTATTTGAGACGGTTGTGTATTTATATAACAAGTAATAAAATACCTCATTCCAACATATGGGTCTTCGTGTTTGTCTCTGTCAAATTTAACAATCGTCGTTCTATTGATGCAGATAACACAACCGCAAAAGCGTTGACGGAATGGCATATAGCAATATGCGTCATATTAAATGATTTACTTAAAATATTTGGACATGCTTTGTTCCATATCAAACCAGTCCCCCATGGTTGTGTAAGCAATGCAACCCACATTCATATGATATACGTCAACCATCCAAGTTGACAGTCAACAAATTTACATCAAGGCTATGTCATATTTAACTGTTTAATTGAAATCAGTGCACAAAGTGACGGCCGCTCTCCTATATTCTATCGCAGGGCTCAGATCTTTTTTGCGTCAGTACCGTGTTCCACTGACGTTCACAATCTGTTCTATTAATAAGGCCGAGAGACGCATATAAGGGGCAAATTAATCAGCTCCTCACAGCGAGTGACGTGTTTATGGGGCAGGTAATTAGCAGTTTCTCACAGCGAGAGCCCCATACAGTCGTCAACAGAAAGCACCTCTTATTCAGTGAGAGACGCACATGTGTGTTGTACTTTTAAACATCGCACTGTACATATTATTTCAACCAATTTAGCAGTACTGAGCAAATGTTAGCTTTTCTTACGAGAGATCCCACCTTTAGTATCAATCAGAAGAAGTATTTAAAGTGTTTTGATAACAATTGCTAATCATTATCATAGGCTTGTACAGCGTTTAGCAAATGAACGCATGTCGGCGAGAAAGGGGATTATGATGTTTTTACAGAGGTAAGTGCCTGGTACTCTTCCTTGGGAATGGATACTTAAATACTTCGTATGCACCTTGATTGAATTAGATGTAATGGTTTAGAGGTTACTAAAACTTATATTTCCTTCAACTACCTAATAAATAGGAAACAATATACGAAATTTCAAGGACATACAAAGAATTCAAACACAATAGAATAGTTTGAATTTACCTTTTAGTCATCATTACGTTGTCATGTTTCATATACTGAAACATAATGTATAAACACAAGTAATTATACATCCAAGCTCGAATAGATTAAACATAATTGAACTTACTAATTTGAAGTTTACTGAATTGTAACTAGTTGTTTTTCATAATCTAAAGTTCGTAATGTTACCTAAGCGAATATAAAGTGATAAGTCGCGCCTTTGCATCGAATACATATATACATGTCAGTGTTATTACAACAATGAAATGTTTTACTACATGAGCATTCTGTAAAACGTTTGTATTTGATCTGTGTAATTATCAAATCCGGTGCAGTTATCACGTGTATCAATCAACTCAGTCTCTATTGATCCATCGTCAATAAAAGCTGGATATTATATCAGTTACGGTATCGATACACATGCGTATAATCATTCGAGCAGATTACAGTAATAAGATAATTGAACGCCTCTTTCGACCTTGAAATAACAGCCTCCGGTAGAATGCATATGTAGTTACGTCCTTGTTTGTCCCGTGACAAGTGTAAAATAAACAGATGCGCTGTTATATCATTGGACATCTTGCTTTATGGAGTCACGCCCCTCTCTGTGACGTTTATACATGCATGCACATCTGTAATCTTATGAACCTCGTTTGCATTCAGTAAAGATATAGGCACGCCCACCTTCATAAATATTGGGGTTGGGGGTGTCAACTGCAGGTTTATACACTATAATAATTCAATATAGTGTCACCTCGTGAATTCTGTAATGCGTGTACTCTAGTTTGGATAGTCATTCGTATCAAGGTGATATTATATTAACATGTACAGCAAACCATTATGTTTTATGTACTAGTTGTGTGCATAAAATGTATATGAAAATAAATACTACCTCTACTCAGTGGTTGGATTTCAATCGCTTTGTTTTACTTATCGAAAAACACTAAAATGAGGACAAATAAACTCGCCAAAGTGACTATCTACTCCTATTTGTCTTATGTGTATATTTCATACATCGTTACCAGTGTGTATGTTTACAATACACAAACCGTTACATGATATCTTATGTTGATAAAGCTGAAACCCAGCATATCGACTGGTCAAGGATATAGCCAATAACCAATCTCTATCCAAGCTGCTGAGTGACCAAACGTGCTCTTCAGAAATTTCGCCCACGCCCCGTCACCTGTCCTTTCCTCTGTGACAGGTATCTCATGATACGATTGGTCGCAGATAACATATGACCAGCCACTATACTGAACAGTTCAGATACCGAACGTTCTATTCGGGAAATTTGATGACGCCCTATCACGTGACTCTTTGTTTTATGTCTATGCAAGGAATA